GCTAGGCGACATGTCCGTCAAGTTGGAACGGTTTTACGACGACATCAGATATAAACTGCAGAGGCTGTTGGAGGAAACCGAACACATTTTGGAGTCCCAATTGACAAGTATAGCAAAAGTAAAGAACGACGAAAACAATACAGTTGAAGAGATTGTAAATTTTGACGATATTGGGGATAAGGAAGAGTCTGGCAAAGAATCCGAAGTGGAATTAACAACGGAAAAGCTAGAATTCGAAAATGAAACGCCAGAAGAGTCGAAACCCGAATGGGCCGAGACAGAGGATAAAGAAAACCCTGCAAGAGAGGACGACTTGGTCGAAAAAATTAAAATACTCGAAACGCAAAACGAGAAGTTGAGACTTGACATTTTGGACCGTTCGAAACAATTGAAAATAACTTTGGCCGAATTGTCGTTTCAGAAAAGCAAGTTGTACAGCACTAAAGAGCAATTGACTATCATTTCCAAGGAAAAGAAAGATTTGATCAACACTATTAGCCAGATGGAGGTGAAAGAAGAAGGCATGTATACTTTGAAGATTCGACTAGACAAAACGAGAGACGAAAACGAACGACTAAGGTCCATATTAAAACAAACGGGTGAAGACGAATACACCATTTTATAAACAATGCCTAAGGGTTAAATGGAATGTCTAAATTACATATATATTTTTAAACGTTTGTACTGTTGAAGCATAAAATTATAAAATATAATAAATTTGTTTAACTAAGAAGTTAACAGCAATTGTAACGTTAATATTACTTACTTTTGCCAAGAGGCTATATTATATAATCACATTCGTCATTTACCGACCAATTTGAGATGCATTTATAATATTGTGTGATAACTAAACTTATAATGGAGTTACCTACTTTATTAACACTGTGCGCATTATGACAAAACTAATTGCATGGCATTTATATACAATGACATCAATTCTAAATTTATCTGACATTTTACCCACGCCATAGTAAGTTATTTACATAAGTGAATTTAGTGAATGTTTAATTATCATCTTGATGTTCTCGACCGATGAGTAGTAGATTAATAAAAATGTACACATTTGTTTTTAATAAGGTAGCATACTCGTTTCTGTAAACTTTCCTATATGTATCCTAAAAATACAACATAAATATATTGAAGTACGAAGAAAACGTTATATGTACTTGAATATAAATATAAAATAAAATAATATAAAATTAATTTTAAATATAAAAGAAAAAATTAGAAAAATTAGGTAAGAATACAAAAGATTATATTATGACACGTTTGTAGGCCGTTAATTTATGTTAATATTTAACATCGAGTACGTGGTCGTGATGCGCGTTTGAAGTGAAATTAAACAAAGAAGCTATTAAAAAATAGAAATATTTGTCAATGTATTTTCAGATGAAAATATATCTTTATTATTAAGGGAGCTAATGTCAAATTTTTAGGGGCTATAGCTCTCAATAATTATTTTGCTTTCTAATAAATATAACAACAGTAAAAAGTATCAAGTACAAATTATACAACAACAATGGGTCATATCATGCCAAATAACCTGATGTGTGTGCGAGTGGATTTTCTAAATACCCCAAACTTATCACAGATACAACTTTAACTAACCACAGATACTACTTACGGTCCTGACCTTGACCCTGGTATTGTTTTAGTTCCTGCCGCTATTCGCTTCACCGTCCAATTCACTCTTTGTTTTGTTTGTCCCTGTCTTCAGGTGTTTTTCCTGTACAATGGAAATCTAGTTACATTACCCCTATTTTTAAGTCATGTACCATGTAACTGGTATATTTGTACTTTAATTTCTTGATAAAATAATAATAATGACTCGCTTGGTCTGTCAGTGGACGGGCCGTTGTCACCGCAATCGCTAGTGATTATTGAAAACTTTGCGCGCTTAAACTTTCGTCAATTTAACTCGATACATAATAAAACCGATTCTACCTTAGATTTAGTGTTTTCAAACTTAAATAACATTGTTGTCATTCAAAGTTCAGATGCGTTATTACCTATTGATAACTACCACCCACCGTTAAATATTAGTTATAATTTTGATCCTAAACTTAAGGCTATTAATTTAACTGTATGTAAATATAATTTCAAACGCGCTGACTTTCCAGCTCTTTGTTCTTATTTGGAAATGGTGAATTGGCTTTACATTTTCAATGGTAAGGACGTAAATACAGCCACAACTATTTTTAATGACACTGTCTTAAGTGCCATGGATTTGTTCATTCCCAAATTTACTTCCTATCAAGGAGTAAATGCTTTCCCCCCTTGGTTCACTTCTGAATTAAGAAATATGATTCGCTATAAGAAAAAGTTACATAAACACTTTAAATAATCAGGTAATCCTTTAATCCTAGATCAATTTGTAAATGCCCATCGTAGGTGCAAATTACTCTCTAAGCAATGCTATGATAATTATTTACTAAAAATCCAAAATAATCTAATTACCAATCCTCGTTCCTTCTGGAAATTTGTTAATGATAGGAAAAATCTAAATGTGTTGCCTGACACAGTGCGTTATGGAAACACTATTGCTGATAACATCCAAGATGCTTCTATCTTATTTGCCAAATACTTTTCTACGGTTTACTCAAACGATATAATGCCTATCACTAGTGTTGACTTACGTAATTTACCAAACCAAGATTTACTAGACATATCTAATTTTGATATATCTTTAGCTGAAGTTTTTGAGGGCATTATGTCTTTAAAAAATGACTTTGTCCCTGGCCCTGATAAGATTCCAACAATAGTTTTAAAAAATTGCGTTTATGTGTTAACAATACCAGTACACTACATATTCAATTTATCACTGAAGTCTGGTATTTTTCCTTCATGTTGGAAAGTTAGCTACCTTACACCCATTTTTAAATCGGGCGACAAGGCCAATATTGTTAATTACAGGCCCATTTCTAAATTGAGTGCATTACCTAAACTTTTTGAAAAAAATATTATACTCTAAGCTTTCTGTTAGGGTTAATCATATTATTTCTAGTCAGCAACATGGGTTTATGCCTGGTAAATCTACCTTAACTAATTTACTAGAATATTATTCTGATTTAAGTTTAATTGTTGAGAAAGGTGGCCAAGTTGACAGTATATACACTGATTTGAGGAAAGCGTTTGACTCTGTGAATCATAATTTGTTAATAACTAAATTGAGTGTTTTAGGTATCAGGGACCCTTATTTATCCTGGTTAAAATCATAATTAACAGACCGAACTCAGCAAGTAAAATTAGCTTCAAAGGTATCCCACGTAATTAATGTTAGCTCAGGCGTACTTCAAGGGGGTCATTTATCACCCATTTTATTCTTATTGTTTGTTAATGAAATCCCGAATATGATTAATCATTGTAAATGTCTAATGTTTGCGGATGACCTAAAAAAGTACATGGAAATTACATCTGATGCTGACTGTTCTAAACTCCAAGACGACTTAAATAAATTTGAAAATTGGTGTTTGAACAATGGTCTTTCAATAAATGTGGAAAATGTATGAAAATATCATTTTACTGTTGCCGTAACCCTACTTTAGCCCAATACTTAATTAATAATCGAGTTTTACAAAACGTTAAACAGCTGAAAGACCTTGGTGTTTATTTTTCCTATGATTTATCATTTCATCAGCATATTCAAAATATAAAACTAAAAGCATTAAAAACATTAGGTTTCATTAGGAGAAGTTGTTATAATTTTTCAAATTTAATGTGCATTAGAATTCTGTATATTTGTTTAGTTCATACAATTTTAGAATATGCCTCCATATTGTGGAATTCAGTCCAAAGCGGACTTACTAATGACTTAGAACGTGTCCAAGACTGTTTTTTGCGAACAGTAAGCTTTAAATTTAATATGCAAACTAAACATAGAAATTCAGTTCTGCATTTATTAAATCTCGATATGCTCGCATATAGACGTAAGATTAATTATTTAATTTTTATACACAAGTTGCTTAATAACGTTATCGATAGTCCTGAACTCCTAAGTAAATTGTTATTCCATATTCCTTCCTACAACTGTCGCCTACGTCCAACTTTTCATGTTAGTTTCCACCGCCAAAATTATAGTTTTTTCACTCCTATTAACCGCATTTGTATTGCCTTTAATGACTTACCTCCCTCTTTTGATGTCTTTCATGACTCCCTTCTTGAATTAATATTGGCTCTTACCCACAACTGATTTAGGCTCATTTATACTTAATCGTCCAATTTTTGTCATATTTATATATTTTGTTTGTTATCGTTGTTATAAATATGTTTTTCTTTATTGATACTGTTTATAATTTATAATTATTAATCTGTGATCTACTTACTTGAATGTTACACTCTTGCCTTGGGGGCGTTAAATATATATTATTATTATTATTATTAAAAACCCTTAACCATAAAAATTATATACTCTCCGCAAATACGTCGTATTTCGGCAACAATGTTGTCATCTTCGGCGCTCACGACGATAACTATTTGGAAAAGGGCTAACGAAAATCGCAGAGATTCTTCCACCAGGTATTTTTTCAAGAGCAACATGTTGAACTACGACAAACTGTCAAGGAGACGGCGAAGGTTGTTCCAACAAAAGATGTTGTACGGTCTGCACAAGCTGCTGAACAAACGGGAAGACGACCTCCAGCAATCACAGCACGCCGGTACAGACTTGTACCACCACGGTCAGGAAGAATACTGGGAAGGGCTTCGGTACTCTTTCGCCTACTCCTTGACCGACGAAGCTACGCCCGAGTAGGAATGATAATATAATACGGCCGAAAATCTTGAACGAAACGCACAACATACATTCGAATATTGTAAATAATATGAAATATAGGTTATATAGTATAAAAGCATCCGTAGAACGTTCCTAAATATATTGTTACTGGCTAAATAGCTAGTGAACTGTAAACTATGTTTATGTACATAAAAAAAACAACGTTCAGGTAACGTAATACCTGTTATATTACTCTTATTATTTAAGAAACAAACAAATTCCAGCTATCATGTCGCTTTTGGACAAGAAAATATTCGATTTAAAATTAGCCGCAAAACAGATAACGAGAAATGCGAAAAAATTACAAAAAGACGAAGCCAAAGAAAGAAGACAGTGTTGGCTGCACGTGATGCGCGGCCAACAAGACATTGCTCGAATACACGCTGAAAATGCGGTGCGCAACCGCAACCAGAGTGTTGGTCTGTTGCAGCTAGGCGCCCGGCTCCAGAGTACGGTCAACCACATTGAAGCGGCAAAACTACAGAACAAGGTAAAAATAATGTAAGCATACGGTTAAGATGACAAATGTCTAATGTGTACATTTTTAGGAAATTTTTCCCGGTTTAGTCGTAGAAGGAAAAAGGGCAAACTTTTTTCATTTTTAGCACATAAGACTTTAGTACAAATTCGTTAAATTAAAGTTATGACATTTTGTTAAAGAGTATTCTGTACTTGGATATTAGTTTACAAATATACGTTTTTTAAAATATATTTTCTTTGAGCTAGAGATACTCTAATAAAAAAGACGCTCTAAAAAAACTCACAGTTCTAATGCTCAATATATTTAAATTATTTTTTTTTTCTATACAAAGATGAAGTGTTTATAAGGCGCTATACACGATCTTGGTAATTTTGCAAATATATAATGCCTAAAAATCAATTTTTTAAATAAAATTTTAAAGATGGCAGTAAAATTTAATTTTTGGAGATTGTTGCGCCCTATGGAAATATATCAAATCTACTATGCAAACAATACAACAATAATCAAAAATTAAAACTGATTTTTTTCCGTTAAATCGCTTTTGTAGTACAACTTTACGTCGCCATGCATCTTAATCTAGAGGTGTTTTAGACTCCAGACACGAAAGACCCCCTCCCTCCCCAATACATCATTATGGCCAATGATTAAAATAGTTTTTTTTAATTATTATATTATAGATATCTTCGGCAATAGAGTCTGTAGTGTTTTCAATGGCAGTGGCAACACGAGCTATGAACATTCCTTCAATAACGCACACCATGGATAAGTTCGAGAAGATGACAGACTATTTGGACACGCGCCATTCTTACGCGGCAGAAGCCTTGTCCGGTAATCAACCAATAGGATCTGATCAAGTGGATCAGCTCATGGCCAATATCATTGAAGAAGCAAGGCTGGACATAAAAAACGCAATGCCCAGTCCAGAACACACACAGGTTATTCCTCCATTGCCGTTGCCTCCATCGGATACCGAACTCAACGAGAAACTCGCCAATTTGAGAAATAACTACCATTAAATGCACAAAAATTCAAAATATAATATATTTTTATTCTATAAATCGTCACACGTATTGGCAGTTATAATTTATGTACATCATATAACACTAGGAACACATTTTTATTTTATTTTTATGTCAGTAACCGAACCCTACACCACGACCTTAACATACCAATGCTATCAACCCTTGCTTCCTACCACTATAAAAAATTCCATACGAACGTTTTCAACCACTCTAATCCTCTCATATCTAAGCTAGCTTCTCTCACAATTCCTGACAATTCCTCCTCACCGACTAAAACGGAACTGGCCACGTGATCTACTTAACACTTAATATAAATTTAAAAATATATAAAGTACTCATCTCTTGAACTAAAAATTTTAATTAATATTTGGAAGTAGTGTTAATGAACGCTCCCTTCCTACACGTCGCCTTGTCTTGTCGTGTTTCTATATTGAGCTCATTTACCTATTGTATTATTTTTTATACATATTGTAAATATTGTCTTTATTTAAATAAATAAAAAATTCTCATCATAAATTCTTTCAGGTTGTGTGGAAGATGTTTAAAAACGTTTTCATCCTCACGTCTCCCCTCAGAAAGACTAGGCGATCGGGGAACATTTGTCGAAACCACATTTTAAAAACTTAAATAAATATTAGAAAATTTAGAAGAAGACGGAAATTTGCTGTACTTTGACAACTCTTTAGCATTTTCATGTCTTAGCTCTGGCACATAACCGAAAAAAGCGTTACCAAAAAAGAAATTGGGTTCGATACAAAAATTATAAAAAAACAACGTGGAAAATTAATATTAAATATTTGTATGTAGTCTGCCGAAACAGAACTTAAATAAAAAACTAAAGTCAGAATTGAGTACCAACAAAATACAAAATAACAAAAAATATTGATTTCAAAATATGTATAAAGTAAAAAAATATACTTCAATGTAGAATACCTTATAGTCTAAAACAGACACAACGGCTGAAAATCCTGCCAATAAATATAAAAAGTATGTGAAACCATCTTAAGCTTTAAACCTTAATAACATTAAAAGCTAACTATTCAAAACTGGTTATCGACCAATTAACATTTTCAGTAAATTATTCTTAATTTAAAATGTTTATAAAATATGTAAAATACCATCTAAATTTCATAGATTAGATTTAAGATCTAAACAAATAAAGAATTCTAAATAATTAGCTGATTTCAAAAATGTGTAATTTAGTAACCAAAAAACAAGTAAACTAGAACGATAACAATTTAATATTTCTTAAAATTAAAACATCATTGATTAGTTACCCGTATTAACAGCCGTCGTGTCAAAACACATCGCCTTAATATAACGAATAATACCCCATTCGGTTAATGTGGATAAGATGGCTGATAGGGTAAAGTGTACTATTATTGGCAGTGGTACAGTTATTGGCATATCAATTTTGTTTTTATAATAAACAGTGATGTGATTGTGCTATAAAGTTATTTTTTGTATCAATAAATGGTCACACTGGTAATCATTTGGCTCCTATTTGTTATCAGTCATTCGTGTTTTGTTGTGGATAAACACATCAAACCGCATACAGTCACCTCGACTTGCCACAATAACAGGTAAGTCAGAAACAGTTTTTAAGGTAAAACTTCAAAGTACCTACATAAATACTTTAATATTTAAACTTAAATTGCTATTAATTATTTTATCGCAATTGTACTATTGTATATTAGATACCTACTATAGATTATGTATATTTTATTTTAGCCAATGCCGATAAAATGCCTAGAAAAAGAGTAAACTTCTCTCAAGAAAATATTGATGCTGCAATTCATTCGTTTTTAAATGAAGGCTTAAGTAAATTGGCAGCTGCTAAAAAGTTTGGGATATCGCGATCAACTTTGCAGTATAGACTGAAAAATCCAAATAGAAAAACATGTGGACCATCAACGGTATTAACACAAGAGGAAGAGGAATTATTACAGACTTGGGTAATGGAAAGTAGCAGGAAAGGTTTTCCAAGACGAAAAGAAGATCTACTTCTCAGTGTACAACATTTTCTAGTAACTAATAAAAGACCAAATCCTTTTAAAAATAATTTACCAGGTATAAAATATATTTTTCAAATAAATAGGCTCTCATATTTTTGACACTTTGTATTTGGTTTTTTGTCAGGTTGTGGATGGTACAAAGCATTTATGCGAAGACACCCACTAATTTCGGTGCGTTCTAGCGAACATGTCACCTCAGCTAGTGCATGTGACAGTGAAACAGACATCAAAAAATGGTTTTCTGACATTCATCAATATCTAGTAGAAAATTGTTTAGATGATATTCTACAAGATCCTACTCGTATGTTTAATGGAGATGAAACAGGCTTTTCACTATGTCCCAAAACCAAGACTGTTTTAGCTCCAAGGGGATCTAAAGACGTATACGAGGTTGCATTAGGTAATTCTAAAGACAACATTACTGCTATGTTTACCTTCAATGCCGCAGGCTCTATGTACCATCCTATGATTGTATATAATTACCAAAGAATCCCTCAAGATATTATAAAGTCTGTTCCTTCTCAGTGGGGAATCGGTCATTCTGACTCAGGTTGGATGAAGTCCGAGGTCTTCTATGAATATATCGCTAATATGTTTTATCCTTATATAATTGAAAATGTAATAAAATTGCCTGTTCTTTTGTTTGTTGATGGCCACAAAAGCCATCTTACATACCATTTAAGTGAATTATGTTTTAACTTGAAGATTATTTTAGTTGCACTATACCCAAATTCAACCAGGATTTTGCAACCTGCAGATGTGGCTGCTTTCAGACCATTAAAATCTGGTTGGAAAAAAGGGGTCTTTGAATGGAGAAAAGAGAATAACCTAAGTTTAGCTATTACTAAAAAGGATTTTGCCACTATTTTAAAAAAAGTTGTAGATGATACTGTCAAACCAGAAACTCTAATTAATGGTTTCAAAGCATGTGGGCTTTATCCGTGGAACCCTAACGCAATTCATTTTAGAAAATGTCTTGGAACTCATTAGTCAACTCAATATATCATTAAAAAAAATAATTCAAAAATTCCAACTGAATATATTGAGGAAAATAGTTTAGAGATTTCAAATTCTATAAACATTAAACAGTTTTGTGATACTATAGGTCTTGATTATGTCGAGAAACTAAAAAATATGGATAATGTTAAGGAATCTAACTCCACTTCTAGTGAATTTCATGTTTTAAATAAGGTGTACAAGTTGTTTAATGGTAATAATAATGAGAAAAGTATTAAAAAAGTGTTTGAAAATAATTTAGTAGATAATATAGATGAACAGAACACTATTGTGGTGCCTGATGTAATTAATGAAGGCTTTTGGGATAGTAGTAATGTAGTGGAGGAGCCAATTTTATTAGAAGGAACAAAAAGTCAAAATGAAATGGATATTTGTGTAGAGGAAAACATTGATATGCCCTTAAGAATTATTAGTGAAGCTGAAGAAAATATACTAGGAAGCAAAGAAATTCAAGATAAGATGGCTATTTGCGAAGAGGAGGATGTGACACCAACAAATATGAAAAAAAAACTTTTCAAATATCTCCTTTAGAATCATGTCTTGTATGGCTAGTTACCCCAGAAAGAAAGGGAAAGCATTTAATTGAAATAATACCATTTGTTATATCATCGGAAAAGTAGCAAAACATACATCAGGTTAAAGAAGATGAGAAAAAAAAAGTTGAAATCGAAAAAGAAGAAAGAAAGAAAAAGAAAGTTGAGGAAAGAATGTTAAAAAGTAGTTTAAGGGATAATGTTATTAAAAAAAAACCAAAGCCTGTTGTTAAGTCAAAGATTGTGAGAAATATATTTCAAGAAAAAACCATTAAAAAAAACCTACTGAAACTATTACTAGTGGAGCATTAGCAGAAAAAAATAGTTATAATAACAATTTAGAGCTACAAAATGATGTAGAAAATGAGAGTTCTGAAGTTGCAACATATGCTACTGCTGGTCTATGTTTTAGTTGTGGATTAAACCTAAGTGAGGTATTTAAAGGTGTTGAATGTGCTTTTTGCTCACATATATACCATTTGAGATGTTTAACAAAAGATGAGTATTGTGAATTAAGTGTAGATGTAAGCATTGATTATGTAATAGACAGATAGGCCATACAATGTTAATATTTGGCGACTAGCCGTGTGATGCAACCGTTATGGAGCGCTAGTGTAGCCGGGATGCAAGGTGGTGGTGCCTCCGCCATAGGTTGATGAGCGGTGTAGAACGGTGCCGGGATGCAAGGTGGTGGTACCTCTGCCGTAGGTTGATGAGCGGCCATGCCGTCTACAGCTGACTGTTGTCGCTGTTCTAGTAATAGAATGTTTATTCCAAAAAATTCAATGCATTTTTATTAAAATATCTTTGACTATCATCCGGTCATCATTTTGTAATGGTTAAAATTTTTTGATACGTTTTTGACATACGTGTACATTACAATTTTTAATATTATTTTTATTTGTATTATTTTACATTTGCGCTTACGACTTTTTAAAATATGGCCGGTAATAAGTGTCAATATTTGAATTGTGGGAAATCGAAAAAATATTTTCCAGATTTAAGATTGTACCGTATTCCAAAAGACGAAAGAAGAGAAATTTGGATAATAAATTCGGGATAGTAAATTAAAAAAGTTGTAAATAACAGTAATAAATTTATAATATTTAAGAACAATCAACAAAAGCAGTAAGATAGCCTTTTTTTATATCATTATTATTATTATTTATTTATTGACAAATTTATTAATTTAATGACATTGAAAAGCTCATTTATTCATTACCAGAGTTGGATAAATTTATAAAAGTTAAAACATCTTAAAATGATATTATATAGAATGTGATAAATTATTATACATTTTAAAATGTATAATTTTTAAACAGTAAGGTGTTTATTACTTCTTTTGTTTGTTTCTAACTAAGATGGTTTAATAAAATATAATTATTTTTATTGACTTTTTTTTAATTTGTTTGTAGGAAACACAAGTTTA